TTAGCCTAGTTCCGTCCATGCATGACCGTGTTGATATTTGAGAATATCGTGTGATTATCCGTCTAAATGAGAATTTAACACGAGTTTCTTGTCCAGACAAGAAATTTCAGACAAGAAACCTGTCTGACTGAAGCTACATGAGACGAGTTTCCCGTCTTCGATAAGTTTCTACGACGAGTTCCGTGAATTCCCCAAGCATTCTCGAGTAGACTATATATATAGAAAATGCTGATCGCATGTTTATTTAAACGACGGAATTTGTAGCATCAAAGATGCGAACAACGATGAATTTAACTGAATGCCTTCAGCCCGTTAATTTGACGTCCTTACTCCTTACTAAACCCTTATCTATAAATGGCATCGCAAACCTAATTACATTTATTCCTGTACCTTTATTGGCAAGCCAAACTTATCCGCAGCCCTTTCTAAGGTATGTTCACGATTGTCCAGCAATGCTTCAAACTCTATACGACAATTAAACCGCAGTGGCTTTTTTATATCTTTGAATTTCACCTTGAGATTCTCTGTGTCAATGTGTTCAATTCTTACTGTTGATCCAGGCTTGAAGTATCGCTCGATTCCCTCGTTCTGTTCATTTTCTGTCACGCGGAAGTATTTAATGTCTGGATAAAATTGTGGCATGTCGCAGACGTATACTGTATCGTATTTGCAATACTCTGTGAACGGACGAACTAAGAGCTTGCATTCGCACTTCTCTGGTATCGCTATGGGTCTTCCGTCGGAATCTTCAGCGATGAATCGCCTCCTCTTGTGAATTGTGTGAAGCACGAAAACTTGGTTGGCTTCAAAACTGCACGCTTCGTTCCTGCCATAACGGCCTTCCTCGGTAAGAACCAAGTTTGGAACATTGTATTTCGCGAGAACTTTGCTCAACGGATATGGTTTATCTCGCCATGACAGTGAGGCAACCAATTTACTTGTCTCCATCGTGAAGTAGCTGCGTCGTTTGAGAAAGCTCTACATATGACGCATCTGCAAAGTGAGACTCTCAAAGCCCCCCGCAACTTAATTTAGAAATTTCGAGTATAATTATTTGGAGTATCTGAATACCTGAATGTCTAAGTATATTATTGTATCAGTGTGGTAAGAGCAACGATTAAAACTTTTAAAAAATCCGGGAGTTTTTCAATCTGAATGCACGCGTGAAATTTCGGATATTTCTCGTTTCCCCGACCTCGTATTGTTTGATATTTCGCAATTCTTCAAAAGCTGTCATTCAGTTATTATGCTGTCATGGTAGATCGTATTACGCTAAAATATCGGGTTTAAAAAGGTTGCATGTTATGAAACCTAAACACATTAGGCCTACAACAGCTAATAGGTATCAATTTTCAAACTATTTCTACTCCATAAAATAGATTATTTAGATTAGATATACACGGCATAATGGCCCTGTTACCCGGTTCAATCTTTCATACAACTTGCAATACAATTCTGCTTTTGAGAGATGTAAAACTGCGAATAACAATAATAATAACACCATGGACGTTTCTCGATATTGAGGACTCTTCACTAATTTACATCCCTTAAAAGTAGAATTGTATTACGACTTGCAAGGAACATTAACCCGTGTAAGGACTGCTTTCTATACTGTCGCGTTTTTAGCACCTTCGTGCGTACACGCAGGTAAAAGTTTAATAAATGTTTTTAATTTTGTTATTTAACATCAAGGTCAACAAATGCGTACTAAACTATGCGGAAAACTTAGTTATTTTGATTTAATCACTTAGTTTTTTTGAACATAACTTATATAAGCATTTAGGCTTTTACCGGCGTGTACGGGCATGTATGGGCATGTATGAAAAACACGAGACAGTGGAAAACACTTCACAACAGCGCTAACAATCCTCCAAGACAGGTTACAGCGGCTTCTGCACATCGGTTCTCCTCATAACATTACGGGACTCCATGATTTAGAAATTGCCTAGGTTTTCCATGTTTTGAATTTCTTTGAACATTAACTGAAATAATAATGAACTTGCAATGGTAATAATAAATATCCCGATAGGGCAGGATATTTTAAGAGGATTAGCGATTCAATATGTAAGAGTTCTAGGAATTCAAAGCGTTTGTTTGCATTGCCGACTGTGAGCCACCTTTAAGTTTTAATATCATAAGCTTCGCATTGCAGCAATAGAAACTTATTTTTAAACAAAGTGTTACCAAACATAGTTCGCTTTTTTTGGAAGCTTTATATTCTGAATAATTATAAAAGAATGAGTCCAGTTCCCAGCCCCCCTGTCGGGGACCTTAGCCCCTGTGTCGTGGAATCTCTGGCGCCACCTCTGAGCCCATTATGCTCGTACTTTGGATTTACCTCTACGATAAACTAATCTATTGAAGAACGCATTTGTTATCGCCCGTATGCACCGTCCTCTTAGGTTCCGCGGGCTCATAATATTGATCATCACATGAAATATCCTCGTCACTCACGCTCTCGTACACGTGATCACCACATGACATATCCTTGTCACTCACGCTCTCGTACACGTGATCATCCGTTGGCGACTCGTAATCGTCTATTTCATTTATCTTAAGGATACCATCATTGTATTCTCCGGTGTCTGTCACTTGATCAATAACCTCGCAATCTTTATTATTTTTTGGCGACGATTCTTTTCCATTTTGCGAGGAAGGATCGCACGTTTGCGCGGTTGGAATTCCCGGGACGGGTGTTTCTGGAGTTGTGTCGTTCTCGTCAGAAATCTTCGCTTCCAAAATGAAGCCGATTATTTCCGGTGTGGGATCTCCATCTGGCCTGTCTAGATACTGACATTTGTCGAATTTATCTAATTCTTTTAGGTCGTATTTGTCGTGAAATTCGCTGTTGTAATGGCGTAGCATCCTCCTAAAAGGAAGATCTTTCACAAGAATCCTCTGTGCTACGTAAACGCTTAGCTTCGATTCTTTTGATATTAGCGAACATTTCACGGGCGATTTGGGAAACGTTAACGCATCAGCATCTATGCTCGATGCAAACGCTTCCAGCTTACATGTTGATTTACGCGAAATCGTTACTTTTCCGACATTTTCCAAGTCATTTTCAAGCTCGTCATCCAGTTTATTCTTGTCATTTCCACTGGACAAAAAGCGCACCTGTGCGATAGGAACAAATCAAATGAAAGGTTTGATAATCGAAAAACAGTTTAGAACTGATAGAGCTATCCAGTTTGAATAAAGTTAGTTTAGTTTAGGTTTCCTCCTGTAGTAACACTGGATCAAGAAGAAATTATCCCTACTGAAACTCCAGAAAGGACAGTTTAGAACTGATAGAGCTATCCAGTGTAAAGAAAGTTAGTTTAGTTTAGGTTTCCTCCTGTGGTAACACTGGATCAATAAGAGATGATCCTTACTGGATCTCTAGGAATAACAGTTTAGAACTGATAGAGCTATCCAGTATAAATAAAGTTAGTTTAGTTTAGGTTTCCTCCTATAGTAACACTGGATCAATAAGAGATGATCCTTACTGGACCTCTAGGAAGAACAGTTTAGAACTGATAGAGCTATCCAGTATAAATAAAGTTCATTTAGTTTAGGTTTCCTTCTGTAGTAACACTGGATCAATAAGAGATGATCCTTACTGGACCTCTAGGAAGGACAGTTTAGAACTGATAGAGCTATCCAGTATAAATAAAGTTCATTTAGTTTAGGTTTCCTTCTGTAGTAACACTGTATAACACTAGAGATAATCCTCGCTGGACATTCGCTTTTGTAGTAGAAGCATTCATACCTTTATTGGCAAGCCAAATGCCTTCACAGCGTCTTTCAATTTGTAAACGCGATAATCCAAAAGCGCCTCAAACGCTATACCGCAACTAAACGCTAGAGGATCTTCAACATCTTTAAATTTCACCTCGAAATTTGTTTCGTCAATATGGTCGACCTCTGCGATGGATCCCAGCTGAAAGAATCTTTCCTCTCCTTTATTTTGTGCATTTTGAATAACGCGGAAGAACTTGACGTTGGGATAAACGTTTGACATCTGAGAAACGAATATGGGATCGCGTCCGCAATTTATCGATGAAGGACACACTAAAAGACTCCTTTTGTACCTTACTGGGATCGCTATAGGTCGACCGACCGAATCTTTTCCAATAAAGTTCTGCTTCGTACGGAATTCATGTAAGAGTAGAATCTGGCTGGCTTCAAACGTACATGCATCGTTGATGCCGTCGTGTTTTTCTTTAATACGAACCAAGTTTGGAACTCTGTATTTCTCAAGAACTTCGCACAGAGGACGTGAGTCCCCGCTCCATGTTAGGGAATCAATCGATTTCACTAGCTCCATTGTAAATACGGTGAAGATTTCATTACGATAACTACAATATTAATTGTAGACGTCCTCGTAGACGGCGCCCAATAATTCATGCAGGGATTATGTCTTGAAGAATCCAACAGCTTTAGACTTTAAAATTACAATAATCTACAGGGTGTCTCAGGAAATTTACACGACCTTACAAATTCTGATTCTTTCTGTCTGGGGTGCCTAAGAAGTGCTGTTAATTACTTCTTGCAATGCATCTGTTTTGTAGATTCGAATAGTTTGCTTTACGGAGTTATGCTGGAAGGAAAATTTTGTGAACGCACTTGATTTAATTCGAATATCTGTTGCAAAATCGTTCAAGAGCTATTAACATAATAAGATATTTGTTTGTTTAAGACTAATCTTAAAAATTTTTCATCGAAACAGTTCAAACGAGGCGAACGATCTCAAATGAGACGAAGGATCCCAAATTTTACATCTTCGAGGAAATTTTAGTCGGATTTATTTTTGTAGATAGTTTCCAACGTCAAACGTTTTTCATGTGGGAATTAACATTAGGTTCGTCACATGAAAGGTTTGGTGTTTGAAACTGACTAAATTGTTTTCAGTTTCACAATGACAGTTTTATAAACTTTATATGTATATAATTAGATCAAAATTATCTGGTTAAGATAATGGCATCTTCACAAAATTAAATGTCGCATTTTTTATCTAGAGGCATGTTTACGCTGGCGACATCGCGGCCCACGTTGACAGAGCTTGTCCCCATTCCACCGTTAGAGATTACTGGCCGCTCGCTACCGAGGTAAAAGATGAGCTTACCATATTAAGTTTTGTTCGTACGGTCCGATTTTGTCAGATCCAATGCACTTCTGATGGATGTGATATAGTCTTTTGTCTTACGGTGTATATGGGCTGCAAATTAACTAAACCCAATGCAGCACTTTTTTATCAATAACAGACTACATTCCATACGTCAGAAGTAAATTGGTCTGACAAAATTAGACCGTGTAAACAGACCTTTATAGCCTAGTTTATAGGCCGAATTTTGGTCACGTCTATATAAGACAACTATAACGCAATTGATAATCGATGGTATGAGGTAAATTGGTTAATTGTTTTCATCAATGATGTTATCTTGAAACTTAATAATGCAATTCGCCAGCAAAATATCTGCAAGTTTTCATTTCAATTTTCACAGCGTAATAAATTCGTTGAGCTTGACTGATTTCATTTCAAAACAAACCATGCTAACATTCCGAACTTTTTCACTGCAAATTGAAGTCCAGCCGAAGTACTCAATATCGGAAACTTGTTAAATAAAATGGCAAATCTTACGTACTCGTCAGCTGTTTGTGAAAAATACGCTACGAGCGATTTCAGCTTGTGTTTTAAGATAAAGATTTTCGAGGTTAGAAATACCACAGTATTAGTAAACACTAGTGAAAAGCTATAAATATATCCTCGCTTCCCGACGAAGTCGCTCGTCCCAGGTATCCGTTTGCAGTGCGCGGGCGGTCAGCTCAAATATATGAAGACGTCCAACTAAAACTCTCAGAATCCAATCGTAAGGGTATTTTTTTCGCCAGAGTAAAAAATATCGCCAGGTGGAAAATATTAAGTTGAAGCGCGCCTTTTTGTTTAGAAATGCGGTGATTTCATTGGATCATGTCGATGTACCAAACGATATGTTGGTCTGGCCTGCATTTCATAATGGCGTTGCAGCTGGCCTAAGAATTATACCTGGAATATCACAGGTATATAGTATTTCTATTTTGAGTTTGTCTATATTACTGGCGTACATCAGTAAACTGGATTGCTCTACTGCCCTGAAATCCAGCTAGGTTGTTCCTTTCAAGACTAATTTCAAAATTACTTCTGTGTTAATTTTCCGTGAAATATGTTTCTGTTAATTTTCTACAAAATTGTAACGGACCAATATCTACAAATGGAGAACATAACTTAGCATCAAATGTGGTATAACCTGAACTGCCTAAAATAGACAAAACACTTCTCGACGTTTCGACCTGAGGGCCTAACTCTCATACTAAATCTCCTGACGAAGGACCTCAGGTCGAAATGTCGAGAAGTGTTTTTGTCTATTTTAGGCAGTTGTTATACCACATTTGATGCTAAGTTATTTGAAGTCGCTTCCATGCTGCTCCCTGGTTATATTGGAGAGCATAATTACAGCAGTTAAGTTATGGTTTCATACAAGATGATGATGAATAGATAGTGTCGTGATAGAATAAAGCAAAATTACTTTCTTTCCAGCTAGTTCTACCATTTTTCTTTCTACCATAGCTGGTTCTACCACTACATCTTCACCTAGTCTCTTCACCCACAAACAACCGGCAAAGATTGAATCAATTTTCCATTTTCAGATCGACAGCACGTGGATAGTGTATCAGAGACCTCAAGATAACCTGCTCACAAACGAGCATGCGGGATTCCTGATGGCACTTGGGTTGACTGGACACTTATCAAACCTCGCTATAATGAATGTTCATAATTACCTTAGCAAGGTAAAATGCAATTATTTAGTTTGCCTTCTAATCAGAGACCGGTTGTATCAAGCCCGTTTATCTTAAACAGTGGTTAAGTTCAAAGTAGAAAGCAAGTTTCTCTTTTTATTTAACAAGTGAACTAAATGTTTCTTACCTAAATGTTAAATACAAAGATACTGTTTACAACTATATAATCAGTGCATAATATTCAAGTTGACTCATTCAAAGAGACGTAAGAGTGTTATTTAATTTTGACTTATCCACCGGTTAAGCTAAACAGGCTTGATACAATCGGCCCCAGGCGAGCTGCGTGGCAAATTGGCGAGCGAATAACCCCTTCTGCTTGGGGATTCAAAATGGGGTAAAATGAATATCCTTGACCGATATCGTGCTAATGTTTTCTCACATACCCTAGGGCCATAAGTTAACAAGCGTTGGACTGCTCATCGGATTAGCAGCAACCAAGTAAGTGTCTATGAGTCTATTTCAACCAAGTTAGTCTCCATATGTCACTCCAGTGTGCGCGCTCTGTGTACTGAGCCCCCAGAGTGTGCACAGAGAAAAGACCCTGGGTACGAGGTTGGAAGAAGCCCTCTTAGCTTCAATTCCGACAGAGTGAGCGTTCCGGTCTCATTTGAGCTCACTGGCCCCACCCCTCTCCCTACTAGTTCCTAGTCTCTTCTTTGATATATCTGATACAACATATTTAGACGAGGCAGTATGGACGCGGCTATCACAAAGATGTTAAGCATTCATATAGACGCTCTTCTGCCGCCAACATCAGCAGAGATTGACGTTCCAGTTTGCGTCATGAGTGCAGCGGTTGTGGGGATTGGTTTGGTCTACCAGGGAACAGGCCATCGTTTAATGACTGAAGTATTACTCTCAGAGATAGGTTAGTTAGAATTTCAAGGGGGAAAGTCCTAGTTTATACAATTTATGTGTAAAAAAATTTACACCTTCTTGTCAAATTTTGTGACTGTCTAAAACGATGTGTGAAAGGGGTGGTGGTAACACACTATTTGTCGTGTAAATACTGTAATATTTTCATTTCAATATCCGTTATAGGTCGACCTCCAGGACCTGAAATGGAAAATGCTCAAAACAGGGAATGCTACTCCCTGTCAGCTGGGCTGGCTTTGGGACTTATTATGTTAGAAGTAAGCAGCCATTGATAGTTGGTTTAGTTTAGGTTTCCACCTGTGGTAACACTGGATCAACAAGAGATGATCCTTGCTGGACCCCTAGGAAGAACAGTTTAGAACTGATACAGCCATCCAGTATAAATAAATTAGTTTAGTTTAGGTTTCCTCCTGTAGTAACACTGGATCAATAAGAGATGATCCTTACTGGACCTCTAGGAAGAACAGTTTAGAACTAATAGAGCTATCCAGTATAAAAAAAGTCAAATGAAACTGATGCCAATGAATTTTGTTGTATTTTTTTATCCAGCATGGTCATGGAACAGTCGGGATTTCAGACTTGAATATTTCAGATCATCTTTATTACTACATGGTTGGTGGCCATAAGAAGCCTCAGGTATTTAATCCTGTTCTTGTGTCATTTTATTGATAAACGTCGATAAACGTCTTGCAAATCTTCGTAAGCATTGTTGTGATAGAGTACCCTGTTTTAGACTGGCGCTCAAAGTGAAAAATTCAAATCTCCAAGCTATTTAATAAAAGTACGTTCATTTAATGTCTCGTTCTTTAGAGTTTTAGTGACTCAGAGGCTCTTTCTGTGTTTAACTGTATAAATCATTGTGATTTAGGAAGGAGATAATGTTGACATCAATGTGACAGCACCCGGAGCAATACTCGCGTTGGGACTTATATATTTAAAGAGCAACAATGTGTAAATATATCGGCATTTATTCATAGTTTAACCACAGAGGCATTGAATTAAATGTGTCCAATTCTCAGTTCTGAAACTCACTGACTTTGGAAGACTAAAATGTAACCTGTAACACTGAAACTTGCTTAGCTTCAACAATTCAGAGTTACAGCGAATACTCTAGGGATTTGGCATTAGTAAACTTCATATGCTGAAGGATTTATAAAACGTTTTAGAGTAAAAAGCGATTTTTCAGTTCACTTTATCAAGTCTTTTGTGATTTGTGTTCATTAGGATTGTTGCATCGTGGTTCTCCGCACCAGAGACTCCTGTTTTAGCTGAATTCGTGAGACCTGATTTCCTAATGTTGAAGGTAAATATAACTTCAAAGTTTCACTGAAAAGTTTGAGAAGGAGTAACGCTTTTAACTCCACTGATTTCTCCTGTGTTTTGCTGAAGAAATTTAAAAGATTCTAAACAACTGGATTGCTACTGAAATCTTTACGAGGTTAATTTCAAAATTTTTTTTTGAACATGTTTTGTAGCTTCTGTCGAGAGGTTTGGTCATGTGGGACCACATTCTTCCCTCTCAGGCCTGGGTCGAGTCTCACATACCAAAGGTTAGGAAACGAAATTCTTGTTTACAACTGCATGGTTTTGTTGACATGCGATTGCAATTCCTCTCTGTTTTTTCTTCAGGTTTTTCAAGATTACGCTTTCAAGGAGAACTCGAAAGATATAAATGAAAATGTCGACTTTGATTTCGAAACTATTAGGTATGCCTTTATTTTTTCCAAACACTATTTCGACTATTAGAAAAGAATTTTCCTGATTTGGTTTTTCTTCCTTCCGGAAATATGGCTAAGAAACAAGGTCTCCTTGCTTCCCTTCTTTAAGAAACAAGAGAAAAGAAGCTTCCTTTAACATTTTCCGAAGTGCCATTTATCTGTAAATTATCTTCGACTCTAAACCCAGATGTGACTAAACTTAATTTGTGTTATTTTTTCATTCCAGTCAAACTTATGTGAACATAATAGCCGGATGCTGTCTCGCCATGGCCATGAAATTCGCTAGCTCTTTTAACCAAAAAGCATTCAACACACTTGTATGTATTTTACTTCTGTTGATTATTTTGCATATCGGTATTCTATTATTTTTCTATTTTGCTATTTGCCCTTTAGATGCACTACACCAAATATTTTAAAGACCTTCTCGACAAGCCCGAAGCAGAACAGGTGAGTAAGCTTCGTGTTCGTTATCAAAGGCCAACAGCAGAAAATATCGTTTACAATAATATTACAATAATCAATATTGTTCGTGTTTCCCTTTTCAGTGTGGTCGAGTAATTTTAGAACAGTGTTTGAACATTACGCTACTTTCTTTGTCCGTGGTAAGTGCCTGCCAGCGACTGACTGAATGAAATACCGAATAAATGAACTTACTCAGTGGGTTACAGGTTAACTGTATGAATGTTAACTGCTCAGCCGACTGACATCCTAACAGGGTGGTTTTTTTCATCTCCCAAGGTAATGGCTGGCAGTGGCAACCTTGATGTCTTGAGAATGGCTCGAGAGTTACACAAAAGGCATTCGGCAGAGATAACATATGGCAATCACATGGCTGTTCATATGGCGATCGGTTTTCTATTCCTGAGCGTAGGCAGGTCGGTATATATCCTTCAGTGAACTACTCTAAAAAATGTTTACCACTTTTCTAAATTATCGATGATTGTGTGTGTTTTATAGGAGTACTCTGTCCACCTCTGGACCTGCCATAGCAGCTTTAGTGTGTTCCTTGTTTCCACAGTTTCCAATGACTAGTTCTGATAACAGGTGAATAAATAGAACGGTTTGTAGAACTGATAGAGCTATCCAAAAGAAGTTGGTTTAGTTTAGGTTTCCTCCTGTAGTAACACTGGATCAATAAGAGATGATCCTTACTGAACCACTAGAAAGAACAGTTTAGAACTGATAGAGCTATATCCAGTGTAAATAAAGTTAGTTTAGTTTAGTTTAGGTTTCCTCCTGCTGTAACACTGGATCAATAAGAGATTATCCTTACTGTACCTCTAGGAAGAACAGTTTAGAACTGATAGAGCTATCCAGTATAAATAAAGTTAGTTTAGTTTAGGTTTCCTCCTGTTGTAACACTGGATCAATAAGAGATGATCCTTACTGGACCTGTAGGAAGAACAGTTTAGAACTGATAGAGCTATCCAGTATAAATAAAGTTAGTTTAGTTTAGGTTTCCTCATGTAGTAACACTGGATCAATAGGAGATTATCTCTACTGTACCTCTAGGAAGTTTAAAACTGAAAGAGCTATCCATGCAGTATAAGTTACTTCGATGTCCTCCTTGTATTCAAATAGTAAAAAAGCATTCGTGATTTTAGATGTCATTTGCAAGCTCTGCGTCATCTTTATGTCCTGGCGGTTGAACCTCGTCTTATTCTACCCAGAGATGTTGACTCCAAGGAGACTTGCTATGTGCCGATAGAAATCACTCTGAAGGTCGGTGTTGGACGAGTATATTGTGTTTGGCTTGTAGCAAATTCGTCGTAAAAGACCAGGATTCATTTCATACAAATTATTGTGCCTATGTTTAAAAATATATTTGAATCTGAATTCTTTGCGACAGTATGGATGTTGTGCTTGTGGTTCGACTTAACGAAATTGATTTTTTAATTTATTTTTTATACTTTGCTTTTTTTCCATAGGAAACACAATACTACAACGAAACTGTGATCAAAGACGTCGCTCCTTGCTTGTTACCTGATGTAGACTTGATTAAACAGGTATGTGTCAACGAGAATTACATTTTATTAAATCTTTATACGCGCCCGACTCCATGATGGTTTTCACTTTTGGACCCTGATTTTGGTTCTTTAAATACGTACAGAAGAGCTGGGGAAAGTTTGAGTTTTTTTGCCTAAATGTGTGGGTTAAAAGTTCGTTTAAATGACGTTTCTATTTTTCTCTTAAATCATGGACTTACGTGCCAAACAGCTTCCGTGTGTTTCGACATATTTCATGGTTTCCCAGCGTCTTTTGCAATAGCTTTCTTACTTAAGAACATTATCCTGAAATCCAATTCTACTTGCTGAAAGTTTGCTGTTGTTTAAGCAATGTTTGTAAACGAAATGATTTTAAAGTATTGAGTTCGTGAAAGCAATTAAACACGTGCTACTGTCGCAATAAATTAAGCAATGCCTTGAATGATGTTATTTACTTATTCAAATTCCTCAAAGTTATGTGAAAACACACCCTAAGTTTTAACCGCGAGACTGCCGTTTTTTACAGGTCAACATCTGTGGACAACGTTATTGGCCGATAGTACTCGATGGCGATACCTTGGCTGACGATCTAAGGTCAATTTTGTCGAAAAGTGGAACAATTTTTGTAAAGAAACGAATTGGTCAGCTACCTTATAAACAGGATCCAAAGGTACAGTAAAAAAATTTGACACGATTTTTGAATAATTGTAACCTATAGTATCTTTTATTGCGAGTCCATAGTTTTATTTAATATTGTAATATCATAATAATGTTATTTGATATATATTTAATGTCTTTTTTTAGGGTTATCGAAATCTACTCGCACGTACGTTTACGGAACAAGCCGAGAAGGTAAACAAATATGGCTGCCATTAGCTTGACAGTGTAGCTTGTTAACTCAATATTCTTTCGCTAATGGGAAATAACATTAATTTCAAGCAAGCTGAGACTAAGTTTGATCGGTTCCCGAGTGGTTACTATCAATCAATATGCATGGAAAGCGGGAAAAATTTAACTGCACATTTTGACTGATTTTCAAATTTTTTGTTCCAAAATTATGTTTGTTTGTTTATAGGATTTGCTGCATGATACATGAAACGGTTTATTGACTGAGCGTTTGCGGTTCTTTTTATGGAGGATATACTGGCTATTATTTTTTGTTATTGTTTACGGACCTCTACTACGGCTCTTTGTATAATTATCAAGTTTGAAAAAACCTCAGCCGATATATAATAACGATATTAATTCTTTCTTTCATCAATCAATCTCTTTCAAACAGCTTGATACAATCCGGTCGTTCTCCACCGATCCTGAACTGATACAATTCACAGAACTATTCTGCCAGAATAACTCGACAAATGAAAAGGTATTGCATTACTTGATTCAACTCCAATCATCGCTGGAGTGAAAAATATGATGTTTACCTATATTTAAACAATACAAAGTTACAAAACAATGAAACCAATTGGCGGGGAAATTAGCACTCCGCTTTTCCTATACAGTTCATCGTCAATTTGAAGGAGATTTATACATATACAATACAATTGTAAAATTAGCGGTTATGTTGTTAAATTAATCTGCTTTTTCGATTCCAGGAGAAACGATCCAGCGAGTTTTTGTCCTCTGTTCTTCTAAAATGCGTTCACCAGGAGACAACGTCCATGATATATTCATATTTTGCAATGGAAAAGGTTCAGTATTCTTTTCATAAACAATGGGCACTTTATATAAAACTGTTTTTTGGCTTCGAGCATCTTAAATTCTGTAGATTTCCAGTTATCTGAGGTTTTCCTTAAGACGAATTACCTCCAGATGGAATATGCATGGTTGGAATTTAACTGTCTATTGGTTTAGGTGACTTTACATATAAAGGCTTGAGATTAGGGTTTGAATTAAGGCTAGGATTAAAGTCAGGATTAAGGCTTAAGATTAGGGTTGAGATAAGACCTCTGGTGAAGATTGGGTTGAGGATTAGATTCCGGATTAAGAATATTTTTTTAAGATCGTTAATATGGACTTCCCCAAGTTCTTAAATATTGATTAAATATGCCTCAACCAACACATTTTAGGCCCTTCATAGCGTTGAGAACAAGAACGACATTAAAGCACTCTGGGAGCTTCTTGTCGTGTTAACGTACTACCAAAGTTCGTTTGGACGCCTAAAGAAAAGATCAGATATGAAGGTAGTGTGATCGATTTTTAATCAGGATATCGTGTACTGCTCTGGGCACAGAGCAACAAGCGAATTTGGAAGAGGGTTGTTGAACTGATTAGTACAGCCAATTTCTTTATAATGAAAAATAAACGAAAATTAGCCGCTATTTTTCAATCAATTCCACCCCTTCTAAGTAAAATTTACCAATACCAACCCTTCCTGAATGGAAACTAATTGTTTCGCATTCAAAGTCACTATCTTCCACTTCAAGGCTACTCTTTTGCAGGGTTTCCACAATGCAAGGAAATTTCCTTGCAATTGACAACCACAAGAGTGGGATTGATCTGCATGTGTTAATAGGATATTATGAATTTTTTTTCAAAAGTGCATTTTTTTTCAAAAGTGCTTTGTTTTTCTTTTTTGTCATTGCTGTCCGCCCTCCTACGAGGACAGTTAAATGCAAATAAGTTGTGGAAACCCTGTTCCTTTCAAACGATTGGTATTAAAACAATTCTATCCAGGTATCATATTTCTCTGTTTAGCGATCAGTCAGCCTGAACTTTACAGTCGAAATAAAGGCTCGTTTAGATGCCCATTTTCAGAAATATCTCGAGGAAAAAGGTAAATATTTAACTGTGAACTCTATACTTAACAGACCTCGATTCAATTCAAGAAACAAAACTTGGATTAGCATCTTTCCCGATGGTAGGATGTGGTCAATGGTCTCAAACCTCTCTCACAAGTTTTGACATCCAGTTTTGATTAATGCACCATCTTCGGCCTATAATTTATGTTCATGCCCCTGATTCGGTTTAAAAACCAGTCTAAATTCTTAACCACAAACCGATTACAGGAAATGTCGAGTTTAAACAATGTATGAAGGGTTCAGGAGAGGGCATAAGTCCACAGTTGGCATGTTACTTGGCATATCAGGGAATCACTGAGGCAAGAATGATCCCTGAATTTACGCAGGAAAACGGTAAGTTGGTGTTTCAGTCACTGACCTAAAAACTAGGACTGGACTGAGGATAAATGTCTAAAGGGTTTTCTAAAGGCAATGTTTAATGCAGCTGGGAGGTTTTTGCTGTCAAACTTATCACCTGGCAAATCTCTCGCGGTTTTGAATCAGTTCTGCGGCGATTTACTTTACTAAGACCCGGCTACTATATTTGCTTTTCAGTGCCACTGGAAACGTTGATCGAAAAAGCCAGGACGCTGCAAATTTCGCTCTCAAACCTGCTCAAAATCCGTTCCATTCTTCAGGAATAATGGCTGTCTTCGGACTTCGGATTTCAGGTTTTTATATCTATAATTCGACTAATTGTTTCCATTCGTCTCAATACCCAGTGGATAGAGTTACGCTATCAACTTTCTATTGTTCGGAGACTATATTATAGATATCGAATTACTTGTATATTGTAATAAAACCATTTATCCCGTCGAGAGCGTGCAAAAAAACATGCAATTCAAGGCCATTTGTTAGAAATGCCGGGGGTTTTTTGCACGGACATGCATGCAGCGCGTGTAGATATGCAATTCATGTTGCAAAATATTGCACTACGAAGACTACGAACCATGGTGATCAGTCCAACTATAAGTTTGGAATGCGTCACACCTAATCAATCACTTCTGTTTTCCCCATTTTCTCACATCTTTTCGCTATGTTGATTGAGATAATGTGTTACGATCACCTAATTCCTTGTTTTTAATCTGACGTTTATGTTCAGAGCAAAAATGCTTGCAATTTAATGTAAGGAATTTAAAAGGATTTGAAGTAATTCAACTGAACTAGCAAATTTAAGGTCTTTTTCTCTCTCCTAAAACCCCTATACATCCGTTCCACTCCTATTATATACCTTTTATCGTATATTATCTAATTTTGCTAAAAAATTATTTGTTTTGGTTCGTCCCTGACAATGCAGCATCGTTTTGTAAGGTCCCTGCGAGTTTCCAATGGCGAACGACAATACAATTATTTGTTTGAATGCATATAGCAATGCGCAGTGATGTGAAAATTTTTTTGCAAGCTTTCTGCTCTTATCTGTGTTTAATCTTTGAATAACAGGATGTCTTTGAATCTTCAATTGAGATAATATTGTTAAAATAACGACTCGTATTTCAACAAAATATCATATTTTACTTGTATGGGATGAGCGCGATACGCCGTTGAATGATGGTTTTAACTTCTTTTTGTTTTCTGCGCATTTTTCTAATACCTAAACTATATGCAGGCACGTACAGACTCGGGAACACAGAATAAACATCCTTTAAATAAAGCGAGGTCTGGAGGTTATCTGAAATAGGACACGTCAAAATGCATTATTCCAAAAAAATACGTATGCAAAATAGTTAGGAATATTATATATTGTATAACTATATTAATTTTTAACATACCATGCATGATTATAAACGTACAGGGAAATCGTTTTACTAAAGTATACGAGACATAATTTTCCACACCAATATAATCAGCCCACGCTCTTCCATGCAACCCTAAGGATTAATGCAAAGTCTACAAAGGCCAATTCACATCACGAGTTTTTTTATTCCAGAAATTTGGAATTTTACATTGTTACATAAATCTTAAGTATTTAAGTCGCTATTTCAATTCCTTTAATATTTTTTATAAGTATAATTCATACTGTTCGGCCAGACTTGCACGTATAATGTCTGCTTTCCATTTGAATGTTTCTATGTGTCCAGTCAACAATGACCGATCTGAATACAGATATTAAGACAAGTTTATTTCCGGACTATTTGTCATCGGTAAAAACGACTTCCTCACGCCTAAGTGTCCTTGTACACAGCAAAAGTAAAATCTTGTTGTACACTGGGAATTCATCCTTCAAGGTGTGTTTCATAGGGATGTTAAAATATCGTCTTGATATATAAAGTATTTTATCATGTTACATCTGACCATGCAAAATATTTTTCAATGCTCGTTGCTGCCAATTGCCAAACCAAAGTGCTTCCGCATAAATGGACTTCAAATTTACCACAACAATAGGCTAAAATATAAGTTTGCATTCCAGAATTTCCATTCAAAGAGTTCAAAACGTGCCCTTTGGATACAGACAATCTTGTGTGATAATGTTTCGTATCAGGTTTTCGTCAACTTCAAGTCAGCGTCCTTGAAAAGTGTCATTACTAATTAGAACAGGTTTGCGGAAGATAAGAATTACGCTGATGTGAGGTCAAAATTTTGGCTCTGAGCCCGCGTTTGTAGCCCAAAAAAAGGTCTCCAATACATGTAGGAGTGAATGAGTGTCCATAGAAGGCCACGCATAGTTTGGGAGACCTTTTTGTATTTTTGAATTCAATGTTTGTTTGCATGTATTTGCAGATTTTATCATCTTAACATGTAGACTCTGGATTTTTAGTCGAGGGTCGAGGGTATACCGTCGAATGTGAAATATTGTATTGTTTGTTATCCTTGAAATCGACCCTTGACCTCGACTTCAGATCCTCATAAAAAGCCAGATTTTAGTATGAGTATGTGTTGAATATTTGACACATCTGCCCTTCTGCACCTTGAAGTTAACTTTAGCACTCTGTCTTGATCACCTTGACTCAACTCTCGCGGCAAATTCCTCTTAGGAGTCGGCACATCGCCAAGTTTAAATTTATGTCTGACGAAGGTGGAGTTTTTGAAAACCACATATACTTATTGATGGCAAAAAAAACATCGGATATAATAACTCGCCTCAGTTGGATTCTTAATTCTTCCTTATAAGTCCATTTAGTGGTCTCTTATTGATCCAGTGTTGCTACAGGAGGAAACCTAAACTGAACTAACTTTTTTTATTCTGGATAGCGCTATCAGTTCTAAACTGTTCTTCCTAGAGGTCCAGTAAGGATCATCTCTTATTGATCCAGTGTTACTAAAGGAGGAAACCTAAACTAAACTAACTTTATTTATACTGGATAGCTTTATCAGTTCTAAACTGTTCTTCCTAGAGGTCCAGTAAGCTTCATCTCTTATTCACCCAGTGTTACTACAGGAGGAATCCTAAACTAAACTAACTTTATTTAAAACTTTATTAAACCAACTATATATGGTTTCATAATGTTTTCCTAACTGATTAGTGATATACGGTAATACGTGCTTGAACACACATGAAAACGAGCATGGAGACTGTTTTTCGGATCAATCTTCCTCGGAAATTATCGTGGGAAAAGATTCACGCGTATCAAGGAATAGGATGAATTTCGACATTTAGAAACGTCGTGTAGAGGTCCAGTAAGAAACATCTCTTATTGATCCAGTGTTACTACAGGAGGAAACCTAAACTAAACTAACTTTATTTTTACTGGATAGCTCTATCAGTTCTAAACTGTTCTTTCTAGAAGTCCAGTAAGAATCATCTCTTATATTGATCTATTGTTACTACATAAGGAAACCTAAACTAAACTAACTTTATATTTTGTTTAATTAAGTTATAGTTCTTTTAGTTTTGCACTGCTGTATTGATCCATTGAAGTCTGTGAGCATCTACTCGACCTTTTTATATTGATGGGACATAAAAAAGTTTGTTGAAAGACTACACCGTTCGCATGTACAATTTTGTGAAGTGCATGTAAATTTATCAAAGTTTGGATGGTAACTAAAATGGGAAAGGCCACTAACTGTTCTTCCTGCAACAATTTAGAAAACGTATAAGTTTTAAAATTTACCAGAATCAAAGGCCCTTTGTCATTGAATTTGTCCGAGATTAGCAGTGACTGGCTGACTACTTAGTTAACATAAAAAATCGAAGGAAACAAACTTATAAGTAATTTGTGAAAAATAAATCCGGATTTTTCGCCGTGCATCAATCAACAAGACGGCTCCCAGTGGACCAAGTGAGTGACAGATTTTGTCTTTCTTCGATGAAAAGACTGCTCGATAAAATAACAAGAAAATTCGTGCTCTGGCGGCGCTCTGGCGAAATTTTAACAGCGCCTTTAAAGTAAAAATTAGGCTTGTGTGGCAAAGTAATTGTTTTATTTGTGTATACGTGACAGATATTTATGCCTGTACGTAGCTGTGTAAACAAACTTTATAGTGCCCCATGGCACCCCATTTGCACTTTTCGCACGGCATAATTCAGTTTAGGTTTCGTACGAATATAATTTGGACCATGCATCTATATTTAGGTTTTCCAATGTTCATCATTCTCAATATTATCCGTACCAAAACTGAAATTAAACACGGATAAAATTTATATGGGTGATATTTGACTAGGGTTTTGCTCGGATGCATAACCATTCCTAAATATAGCCGCAAAATAGCACAAACTGTTGTATATATAACGATGCTTCTCAACAGGACTATAAGTATAATCTCATTTACGTAAAAGTGTTTAATTAATGAAGTTGCCAAACAGTCCGAATATAATATCACTAATCATCTTGAATTATCCGGCTAAAACTGTTCAAGGAAACGAGTACTAATAGAACAAACAGCTATACGTGCGTCAGAGCATTCATATATTATTGATATAAATCTGTCTTGGGAAGCAAACTTTCCGGAATTCTTGAAAGAGGAAACCGTGTTCGAATTTTTCTATAAGCTTTGGTATATGACATTGACAAAACATGTAACGGAAGTTTGAAGTCTGCATGTTTTTACACGTTCTAAATTTTTAAGACTCAAGATCGATGCTCGATTTAATTGTGGTTTATTGGCTTCAGTAATGTAATATAACTTAAGCGCCTACGTCAAAGCCAAGGTTTACGGCTTACTGAGAATTCAAGGCTTTGCATGCATACAAAGAAGAAACTATAGCTATTAAATTAGCTGTAAACACATCCTATTTAGGACACATTGCAAAAAATTGCATTGATCAACTTTAGTGATCTTCACTGCATACATGTAAGCTGATTCTCGTCTGTGATTTATGGGATTAATTTCTCCAATTTTCGCACTATTTATAGGCTTCCTGTCAATGATGGTAAATATTGTATTGTTTGCCGTTTGATGGTTTTTATATTATTTTTGATATATACAAAGTACTCCGATAATTGTTAATCATGTGCCTTCGTCTTTAGTGCAGGTATTTTATGTTTCCATTCAATAGTGATGCAGCAATCTCTTAGAGGAAAGACAGGCCTTTAGGGAGCGGTCATAAAGTAACTGCTAGGGTGGGCCGGAGGAAATAAAGATGGGCCATGAAATTATTTTCATTAGTTTGGGTGGGCCATCAATTACTTTTTGTGAAAATGGATGGGCCATGAAACAAAATACAGCCTGTTTGCACTCAATACATACTATAAGCGACGCTGCATGGTTGGTTTGATCAAAGTGATAGACACGCTGTACATTAACATATATAGCAGGATGGGTCATGAAACTTTTCCAATGACTTATGATGGGCTTTTAGATCTTTTCTAGATTTTCAGGATGGGCCACCGAATTTTTTTAGGAAAACAGATTTTTCCCTCCGGCCCACCCTAGCAGTTACTTT